AATGTTTTGCCGAGGATGTTCTATAGTGCAGGCTTTCGAGTTGAAAATTCTTTTAACTTTTGTTTATCATGAAAAGTTTTTATTTCATCATCATATATAAAGCTTAAATTTGCTGGATAGATTCTTGGTTGGCATCCATTTTCTTACAGAGCATGATATATGTTTTCCAGGATCTTCTAGGTTTCAGTGTCTGGGTTAAAAAAAAAATTGCACATAATCTAATTGGTTTCCCCCTATATGTAATCTGATTTTTTTCTCTTGTGGCTTTTAATATTCTCTCCTTATTCTGTATGTTAGGCATTTTCATGATAATATGCCTTGGTGTGGATCTGTTGTAATTTTGTACATTTGGCGTCTTGTAAGTCTCTTGTATTTCGTTTTCCAATTCATTCTTCATGTTTGGAAATTTTTCTGATATTATTTCATTGAATAGAATCCTCATTCCTTTGGTTGGCAACTCTATGCCTTCCTCTATCCCAACAACTCTTAAAATTTGGTCTTTTTATGCTATCCCATATTTCTTGAATGTTCTGCTCATAGTTTCTTACCATTTTAACTGTGTGGTCTACATACTTTTCAAGATTATATATTTTGTCTTCATTGTCTCAGGTCCTGTCTTCCAAGTGGTCTAATCTGTTGGTGATGCTTTCAGTTGATTTTTAATTTTTAATTTAGTTTATTGTTTCTTTCATTTCAAGGATTTCTGTTTTTAGTTTTTTTAAAACCTCTATCTCTCTATTGAAGTAATATTTTGCTTCCTGTATTTATGTAGCTCTTTTTCAAAATGATATTTTGCTGCCTGTGTTTACTCTCTTATATCATCCTTTAATTAATAGAACATTTTAATTATGTACATCCTGAACTCCTTCTCTGTAATTTCTTCTACTGTGCTGGCCATGGATTCTAGTAATGTAGTATCTTGATTTGTTTGGGGCACTTTCTTCTCTTGTCTTTTCATATTGCTTGTGTAACTTCCCTTATCACTGTGGATCTGAGGTGTTACAGTTTTTACCCAATAGGCATATAGGGCCCCTGTAGGGTTCTAATACCTCTCCTTTGAGGTGAAGGACAATATTAACAGATCCCAGTATAAACAATATACACCCTGAAAACAAATGTT